AAAAACGCTGATATTGAGGAGAAATTTTAAAAGAATATGACAGGTCATTGGGGTATATCAGGCGCTTGCTCCGGGTGACTCTGAATTACACTCAAAAACGGTGTAACCAAGAATAGGGCTGAACTTACCGATCACTAAGGGGCTGAAGGAACACCGTTTCCATGAGCGCGGGCCGGTGCACTTAGGGGATATAGCAAACGGTCTATTTACCGGGGACATTTTCCCGCTAAACTAAGTGTCGAAATTTGTCCGCTAAATTTAGCGGGAATATTTTCCGCTAAATGTAGTGGGAATTTTTCCGCTAAATTTATCAGAAAAACGTTTTGCGCTAAATATAGCGGGCAAATGTTTTCACTAAACTTATTAGAAAAATTGTTCCTCTAAATTTGACGGAAAACAGTTTCCCGCTAAATGTAACGGGAAAATGTTTCCGCTAAATATAGCGGGAAACATTTTCCGCTATATATAGCGGGAAACCTTTTTCGCTAAATTTATTGGGGAACTTTTCGCTAAATTTAGCAAAAAATTTAGGGAAAATTTCCCGCTAATTGGGAGTAGAAGTGAAGGGGAGGGTACGGAGGGGAGGAGGGACTTATCCTCCCCTCCGTACCGTACCCTCCTCTTCCTCAAGAGCCGGGCTCTAATTTCGCATTACACAGAATTCTAAACGTCTTTCATTGTAGAGCGCAGCTGTCAGGCACGCGTTTCCGGATTGAGCGTCGCCGGCGTCGCCGTCGCCGTAGGGTTAACCGCGCGTTGCATTATGGGACGTTTCCCATAATGACGTCACATGTGACGTCACGTGTGACTTCACGAAGGTCACAAGGTTTACGAGTGACGTCATGAGGGCAAGAAGGGTTGCGAGTGACGTTACGTGTGACGTCACACGGCGTCTAAGTTTGCCGAAAAAATTCCCCGCAAACTTTAGCAGAATAATTTCCCCAATAAATTTAGCGAAACATTTCCCCGCTACATTTAACTGTAAATTTTCTCGATAAATTTAGCGGAAAAATTTTCCCGCTAAATTTAGCAGAAAACATTCACCGCTAACTTTGGCGAAAAAATTTACCCGCTAACTTTAGCGGAACAATTTCCCCTTTAAATTTACCGGAAAAATTTCCCCGCTAAATTTAGCGGAAACCTTTACCCGCTGAATTTAGCGGGGAATTCGTTCAGCTATATTAACGGGAAATTGGGCGAAAATTTTCCTCGAAATGAGCGGGGAGCAGGAGTGGAGGAGGGGAGAGTACGGAGGTGGAGAAGAGGCCTAGCCTTCCCTCCGTACCCTCTCCTCCTCCTCCTCCTCAAGAGCAGCGCTCCAATTCGCATTGCAGAGAATCGTGAACGTGTTGCATTTTTTTTTCTTCTGTTCTTCGTCCGTGTTCAGGGCCCGGTTGTCGACGGATCATCTTGCAACAAGCGAGACCGTACCATGGTGTGAAGATCGAGCGACCGGTCATGTTTTTTGGTCGCCAACATCTCGGAGTCATTGGAAGTGCTCCTCGCGTCGAACATGACCTCGTAGGGTTGGAGATGAAACAACTGCCAGCTTCTAAGTGGTTAATAGAAGAAAGCCTCAGGAACGATGGAACTGTGTATTCGCAAAACAAACCAAAGTAAGAGCACTAATATTTCATTGTTGACAATAAAACAAATTAAGTTACCGAAGGCTTTAATGTATTCGGATCCTTCATGCAGTGCTAAAAGTACTTTGTTTCAGGTTATGTTGTACAAAAATCATGCTGATGACCTAATGATAACCCACATTAACGTTCGAATATACAAGAATGGATGTAGAGACCCCGCCCTCAGAAATGCCAGAAAAAATATACGAAGCTAACTAGGTTTATCACGTTTCTCACAGTCTGTTTTATTTATACGCTTCTTGACCTGGCGACAAATTAAATAAGGTGTTTTCTTTTTCGCCCAGTTTTCTTTCCCGCTTTTGCATGTGAGATAATTGAGCTACGCGAGTAGCCCTGACAGCGCTGATAAAATATGTAAAAAAAAAAAAAAGAAGAACGGACTGGAAGTTTAGGATATACTTGGAAACTGCCAATTGGCCAAAAGCGAAATTGTCGACGGCCGACTTGGGCCCCAGCGCCAGATGACTCAAGAATCTCCTTGTTTGTTCGAACTCGGAAACTTGTAGATACCAACGCGCTCACATAAGAAGCTTCGCATGGCTGCTTGCGTCAGTCGTCCTTCCGTCGCCGTCAAAGTACGGTTGTAGTTACTTTATGTTTTTCGGCACAAGTTCGTCACAATGAACGTTCATTTTATGTATTATTAACCGGGTTTATGTTTTAAATCGTGACAATATATTCTCAAAAATATGTGGAAACGTTTTTGCATGATATGCAGGAGGTATCGAAAGACCTTCGATCCATTCTAGATCTTACGGGTTTTGCTGATTTACAGGAAGCTGCCCGCGAAAACACAATAGGTTTCTTCTCGTAGTCAATATATGATAAAGTAGTCAAACACTTCGATACCACCGCAGGGTAGCACACGCAGTTGGGCAAAAAAAAGAAAAATTAAAAATTGTCTTGTGTTTTGTGCAAAAATAAATCTGATTTATGAAGCTTTACAATAAGAACATTGTTTTTGCCTCTTTTGAATGGCAACATTCGTTTGCGTTTACACACTTTGATGAAGCGCTGGCCGTCGCCTTCTCATAAAAATGAAAAAAAAAAAAAGAATTTAAATCCTTTGGTCAGATTATTTCCAGTTCTACACGTTTGCTAGAGCATTTAGTTTTGGAAGTGTGACAGGATTACGTTCTGCTTTAATATCTAAATTACTAACTCAACCGAACGCTTCCACCCGCTATAATTTCCAAGATGTCAAGTGGTCCGAGATATGCCTTTTATATAAATGTTTTTCATGTATAAGAAGGTCGAAATATGAAAGTCGAAAAGATCGCAATATTATAGTTACTCGAATTCAAGCGGGCTCTATGGAATGCGTTTCCTCAGGAACATTACGAGGGATGTTTGCGATGCGGTGAGGCTTTTTGTGAAGTAGTTGCTCCAGGCTACCGACACTTTAAGTCTCCAGTACGTAGCAGCCTTGAGCATGGTGCACTTCTTTTAGTGGTGCTCCAGCGCTATCGACCCGTGGAAAAAAGAAAAAACACACGATTTGTCTTTATTCTCACACTACTCACACATAGCATCCACGACGGTCTCCTCAGTGTAGAAAAGTTGTCCTTTCAAATGTTGCCTGTGACCAGAGAACGAATGAAAATCGGACAGTGCCAAATCGAGAAGGTATATGGCGTTTGCGGTGGCCGTTCAACGTCTTATTCACAGGTTAATTGCGAAGAAGAGCGGGCTGTGCGTCGTAGTGCCATTATCTTGAAGGAAAATCAAGTCGCGCTTAAGCTTTCCGTTCGTTTCTTGGCACTCTCTGCAGGCATTATCTGCAACGTTGTACAAGAAGGGGCAAGGGCATGTTACAAACTGGTGAAGTTTCACTCTAATGTGCCAACGTATATGTTGGCACATCTGAATGAAACTTCGACTGTCTAGGCGTACGTACGCCCAGACCGGCTCGCTGCCTCTCGAACATCCACTGAGGAGCATTGAACAGCTCAGTTTCACTCCATGTACGTCACTAGCACGTTGTGCAATGCTCAGAAGAGCATCAGTTTACTAATCGCGTCCCCACAAAGCCGCCAAGGTTCGGTGCCGAGAGGCAGGAAGGCGCGAATAGACACATGCACGCAAGAGAAGCGTGTTTAAAAACAAATCATTAACATGTAGCAGGAAATGGCTTCATGGATATTCAAGGACATCGCGGTGGCTAGTGGCAATACTTATCACTCATGAAGCTCGTTTTTAAGGCGTAGGCATTCTACAGCTATTTCAGTCGACGCAGGTCGCATCAGATCAGAACTTCGCCAAGGTCCGGAGGCTCTAGGATTGTTTCCAACCGGGTATGGCGTACAGTTTCTACTATGGTTTATCTGTCAAAAGGGTATACACGATTTTGTCTTGATAATTAAACTGAATTACGGCTGGGCATCGATTTAACGTTGTAAACCGATTAATTGTTAATCCTAAATTGATTAATATAATTGATTTATTGCATTTGCTGATTCCCATTGATCAGATTAAGAAATGTCAAATTTTCAGTTCTTGACTTCACTGAGCTTTCTTACAATGTGATAAACATTTCAATGTGCATTTTCAATTGGAGAAAACTTATATATGCGCTTATCTACAATATCGAAACGCTTAAATATAATTACTGCAGCTGTGTAGGCAAGGGGTGTCATTCATGTTCTTAGCCAAAAGAGCTCCTTTGCTGGCGCTTGCGTTTTGCAGCACGCGGCAGTAACGAAAAAAAAAACTTGAACTTTTTACTTTTTTTTTGTTTGATAGACTTCAACCACTTAACCGGTAAAAAGATCGATGTCAATTGAAGCATTAATCGTTTAATATAAAGGGTAATCGGTCGATTTCCCACCGCTAGACAAAAGATTGCTGCGGGATGCGGTGTTGGGTGTTCATGTTAGGTTAGCGTCGATGAATAAAATCGGCGTAAATTTGACACACATTCGAATGCCTGACATGAGTGATGAAAACGATCATCATTGTTTCACATTAGATGTAAACAACGAACAAAGAAAATTATTGAACACAAAATAAACAAAATAATGCAAGCGCGAGCTACACGTTTGTCTATGTTTGAATGTTGGGACGATTGCCGCAGCTTGTCCTGTTTAGCTCCTTAGTAGCTGCCTTCTTCGTACGCGAGCTTGCTGCCTTTTTTTTTACTTTAATCCAAATCACCCATATTTCAGCTTTGATAGATTTTTACAATGTCAAAGTCCAAAAACAACTTTAAAAAAAACTTAAACGTTTGTAGGTTCAAAGAAACTACTGCTTCATTCATAAAGTTTGTTGTGCAACTTTAAACAATAATTCTGAAGAGTAAGTGTAAATGTGTAACTAACAGTCGTGTTTCTTGTTACAGGGAGCCTGTGAACTACAATGGCATTCCTTGTGACATTCACGACTCTGCTTTGTTTCAATCTGGTTTTAACTTTGGACTTTCCGAAATCAGGTACAGCTATACTTTATATGTATATCGACGCATTTTCTTCTGTCTGAGACTTTTAAGTACGCATAAATCTGACATGGCGTTAACCACATGTTGTTATTTAGCCTTACTTAAAAAAATATAAAACGCAAAAGGAGTTTCCTCTAGGCAGGTGTAATATAATGGCCGCTATATAACTTGTTTTTATTAGGATGCAATGGAGATTATGAATAGGAAATACTGCAGACCCATTCAAACTTTATATACGAGAAAAATAATATTGATAAAATAATTTCTTAGATGAGCTTACACCGGTAATCAAATAAATTGTTATATGCTGTTCATTTACACGTTGATGCTAGAGCGGCTGAAACAATGATAAAGATTAAGTTTAACACGAAATGATTCATGGACAGGAAAGGTGCGATGTTCGTCATACAGCGAGGTCATATCCTTTAATACAGATATCCGGAGACATGTTTTAAATTATGGTAACAGAACGCGGTTAGGAGGACGCCTTTATATTCGTTATTTAGGATGACCGTGCGGAGGTACTGGCGCTGCGGTACTCACTAAAAAAACTTTATTTTCCGCTTTCCCTCATAGCACTTTGGAGAGCTAATCACTGCATTCTACAGAGAATGCCCGGCGGATAACGAGGCTGAAAATAGCTTAAGACATGAAAAACGGTCCGTGCTGTGGCACCCCGCCCCACCGTACTTCAGAGTAGACCATTTCCGAAATCCCCCAACCCTTTTGAAAAATATCATTTGTATGAGAAATATGTGCGTTCAATGAAAACACATTAATCATACAAGATATATAAGAACATATGAGAACCAAATAAGAACCATGTAAGAACCATATAAGAACCACATCAGAACGACGTAAGAACTATATAATAACTATATAAGATACATAAGAACATGTAAGAACTATGTAAGAAACTTAAGAGAATTTCCTTATATCTTTCTTATATGTTCCTATATATTTTATATGATCCTTAAATGGTTCTATTGTGTTCTTATATATCTTTTATGAATCATATGTGTTTACTGAGCAATAGAAATTTCACATACAAATGACTTTTTCACTAGGCAAGCGCCCCGTCCTTCACTCGAGCAATCATGGTAACGGTGTTCCTACCGTTGCCTAGTAATCGGTAATTACAACCATTTGGACGCTGACAGAGTATTTAAGTTACTCTGACAGGGTATTTTCTCATGCCGATGTTTTTTTGAACATAACTGACGTGAGCCCAATTACCCAGAACAAAATCTGAGGCTCGAAATTTGTTTTCTTTCCGCCATAAAACGCAGGTCGAGACTTGGCCGGTTTTAGGCGCGCTGACTCGCTTTGCCAGGGTGACGTGCTGTTCTAACTGGTGCATTCCAAATATATTCAAAGTTGTGGGTCATGTAAGGAACACATTCAATAGGGAAATCATAAAAGAATATGAACCACTTTTTTGTGACTTCCAAAAAACTGCAAATACGTTGATAAAAAAAAGGCTGCACAGATCACAAGAAGTAAATGTAAAGATCATTGTTAATGTGGCGACGGTCCGCCGGCTGAACGACGCGATGGCTGTGCAAGACGGACAAACATTACGACGGACGTGGAACCGCTACTTCGGAACTGTCTGGTTCGTGGTACGGTACAATCGATCTTCAATCTCATAAAACGAGAGGAAGGGAAATAAGTGTAAAACAATCGCACGACAAACAGTTCAAGTAACGTACTTGTCGTCGTCTGCTTCAAACGCCCATAAAAAAACAAAGCAAAAAAAAAAAAAAAAAAAAAAAAGCCTGGTAGGGAGTGATAGCCACATGACTTCCCGCAACTCTCTCCACCGAGCTTGCTTCGAGCCTCCTTGCACATGTTTCGGTTTCAATTTACATCAGTTGCGTGTTTTGACTTTATTAAAATATACGTGACTGTGTAGCAAAATATTGGTTGGGTAGCCTTCTGAAAACATATTAAACCGCTAGGCAAAATAACTATTATTTTTTTTCGGGATGTCAGTAATTTGAAGACATATGCTGAATAAGCGTCGTGTAGATTGTAGAGAACTGTCATATCACTTTTAAACTTTCTCGTCAAAATATCAGCGTTATTGACACGGTGTATGTAATCCAGGATTCAACCTGGCCTGAGGTGAAGAAATCTCTTACAATATAATCATTCTCCTACAGCTTCAAAGACGCTGATAATAACTCAGAAACGCTAAAAAAATATGTAAACAATTCCGGTGACTCGGGGCTAAATTCTGGTTTTCTGTCGTAAATTCTTGGCTTTACAAGCAATTCATAATAAAAAAAAATCATGAGAATAATAATAATATTGTAAGAAATGTTTGCAGCTCGGCCAGGTGGAAGGGTGGATCGCATGAACATTGTGAAGAACGTTAACTTTGACGCGCAATTTTAAAAGTGATATAAAAGGTCTCTGCAACCTTCAGGACGCTTATTCAGAATGACTCTGGATCACACTTAAAAGTGTGTAACCATCGGGTTGGTCTAAATTACCGCTCACTGGGAAAGTGACAGACCACCGTTCCCATGATCCCTCAAGAGCATGCCTGGGCGCTTGGGTGATCTAGAAAATTGTTTATTACATGGAATATGAGGCAATGTTTTAGTCACCATTAAACAAACTATAAATTACTTCAATGTCTCAGAATTATCGGAAATACAGATTTGGAGACAACACATTCACGTGCCCTCCCCCCCCCCCCCCCCCCTATATCCACCTCTGCATAGCGTCAACGATAAAGTGACCGATATACATACAATGCAAACGTTAGAGATCGAATACAGATGTATGTACGAAAGCTTTGAGAGAAAGTTACCTAATTAGTATGTGAAAAGAGGCTTCATAGGGCACGACTCTTTTTTTATTCCACAGAGGATTGCGACGTCCCGGACAAGGCTCGGCTAGAAGAGAAGCTCGACAACCTTATCCGTAACCTCTCAAATAATCACCTGGTGAACGACACAAAATTGGAAATATTTCAAGGCGCCATGTTCTTGGGAGAAGGGAATCTCCTCGGCCTCCAGTTCCTCGAGCAAGACAAACCCTACAATACGTTTTGTCGCGACAAGGAAACGGTCACTGTGTTTAGCGTTCGTTGCAAGCATTCATTGCGCATGCACATCCCTTGGAGGCTTTGTTCGGGGCACAACGGCACCATAATTTCTGAGGCTGGTCTTATCAGATTTGAAGGAGAACTCGTGACGAGAAAGACTAACAGCGGCACAGAATATCGAATCAAGAATGTAATTCCGGTGACACTGGAAGGTTTGTACTTCAGAATGAACGGCGCCGGAAAAATCGTTTCAACAATTATGGGTGCGCTGAGATTTATCCTGTCGGGGCTCGTCAGATTGCTTTGGGCCTCTGCGATAACGCCTTTTGTCGAAGACGCGTTTCAGCAAACTTTGACGGAATTGAGTTAAGTACGCAAGTGACGGCTTTTCAAGAGTCATTCATCTGTTCCAAGCACAAGGTAGTTTCACTTCATCGAACATCACAATCAATATTTTGGCGGCATTTTGTAAATTCTCTCAAGAAACTTATGAACATATATTACAATCTTGAAAACTTCACAATAGTTTCCTTAAGAGTAATGTTCCGGCCAAGTATAATTCATGTAGAAATCAAAGAAATAGTCGGAGGAGCTCCCGTGTTTTGTTCGCTGGTTCTCCGTTGATACCTTCAGTTACTGTTGCATGGCATATCATTTTTGTATACATATGGGTTTCCAAGAAAAGGACTTTGTTAATTTTCACCGCATTGGGTTCCGACCTTCATTTGAGAAGCTATCCCGATATTCCTGAGTAGGGTGTATATTTCCTGCCTTTTTTTGTTGCTGTTCTACATCGCGCACTTATGAGTGACTATTTCTGATCAAAAATAACGTTATTGAACGCTCGCATGGAATTGCGGAGCTATATGAGATTTATTTAAGGATAATGTTTTGCTCTTTATAACCACTTCTTTTGTTTCCTAGGGCGTCGGAACGGGGTTTAATTGTATTTATATATTTATTTATTTATTTATTATATTCATATTTTATTTACAATAAGGTTATTAAGCAGTCATTCCTTATTTCTGAAACTTCTTAAAGGTATGATCGGAGGAGGTAGTACGCAAAATACCTCTCAAGCTGTTAATATCGAGCCTAATTATCTTCCGTTCTTTGATGTATGAGATTGCTTTTTTTTTTTCTCGTCCTCCACGTGGGTATCTTTCAGTATATCAGGTGAGGCGGGAACGGATGTGGCTGCCATGCACATTAATTGTAAAGAAAAATCAAACGTTCTGACGAAAAAGTTGTTATGGCTGCTTCGAAATAAATGGGAACTCTGAGGAACTGTCGGACGTAGTTCACTATACTCTGTTTACACCCAAGCTCGAAGTACTGTACCAGCCATGCGCTCACCACAGAAGCCGACCACACCTTTTCATCACCAAATCTCGCTGCGCACGCCTAGGTGTGGGTGTCTGCCTCATCACGATGCGAAACATTAACGTATGACTGGTCCAACAGGAACGTAGCTTCCACGGCGCTGTCAGCCTAGAGGTGAATGAGTACAAAGACTATACTCCCTGCGTCTAAGCTGCAGTCAACGCAACTAGTGTGTTCAGTCGAGTCTATTCTGTTTTAGAGCGCAGCTCTTAGCGCCCGTTTCCGGCTTGAGCGGCGTCGCCGTCGCTGTCGCCGTCGGCGTAACCGCGCGGTACATTAGGGGTAAATTTCCCCGCTGAATTTAGAGGAAAATTTTCCCGCTAAATTAAGCGGAAAAAGTTCCCCGCCAGATTTAGCGGATAATTTCCCCGCCAAGTTTACCAAAAAAATTTCCCCGCCCAATTTAGCGGGAAAATTTCCCCGCTTAATTTAGCGGGAAAATTTCCCCTAAATGGGAGGAAAGGAGGAGGGGCATAGCCTCCTCTCCGTACCTTCCCCTTTTCCTCCTCAGAGCTGCGCTCTAATTCGGCGTTACGGGGAGTTGTAAACGGCTTTCATTTTTTTCCCCTAGATTTGAAAGGGTATCTTAACTACCACTGTCATGCGATACGTTCATTTGGAACGTTACCAGAAGTGACAAAATAATGTGCCCGTCGTCGTTATTTAAAAATAAAATACGAAAGCAGCACAGATGTCATATCCGCACTAACAAAATCGGACAGTCGCTGCGTGATACTTTAGGCGCAAATACGAAATCAGTAATTTTTCCGTTAGTGCACCCCGTATTATCTTTTCACTTGGCTAGCAGGTTTAGATTAAAGAACTTTGATTCTTAGGGAAAAAGAACGCTAAAGTCATTGACAGAGTGACAACGATAGGGCGTGTCTTTTGAACGTCCTGCCTCCAGCACGCGCTCCGTGCCTTCCGCCGAGCTTTGGCTGCGTGCGATCGCTTGAGGTGCACAATACGACATAGTGTTGTCGAACGTAGGACGCTATCGCTGGGTGCGGGACAGGCGCATTTTAATTTACGGCACGAGGAAAGACATTGTATCAGTGGGCCGTCAATAGCTCAGTAAGACGAGGAACTGGCATTTTTCCAGGACTTTGACACGCGTTAAAAAATAGTTACCGTTGTATGGTTGTGAATGTCTCGAGTATCACAACGATCTTTTGTGTCATTCGAATAAAATAATAATTGAAAGTTCAGCGCTCCGTCTGGGTGAGCAACTACTCGTCCCTTTCTTCGCCTTCGCGCAGTTTTGAACTTCACAAAGCCACTTTAGCAACGCCAAAAAGACATCATCACGGCGCTGGTCATTTTTGTGGTTTGGTTATTACCGGCTAAACCAATCGCACACACAAACATACACACAAAAATCGCACAAACGCGGCGCATTCCCCATGCGATATAGGTTTAGCCGGTAATAGCAGACGCACAAGAACAATAAGGAAAATGACGTTGCACTTTCTGCACCGCTTGCGTCGCTCCATCGTATTGCACCGTCCACTGTGGTCGGACTTCAAGTGGAGTATTGCAGTCCAGGCTGCCGCTCTCTTGCTTTTGTCAGCGAGCTTGAAGACGCCGCTTCCATGAAGCCGTGTACGAAATGTCGTCAGTCTGACTTGCCTCTTTCCACATCATGCTCGTAGCCCTTACTTAAGGGTCGAAGTACCCATGGACATCGAACGGCAATCAACTTCTGCGTCCCCCCCCCCCCCCCTCCCCACTCTCGCCAAGTCGAACTTGATCCAAAGACTACAACAGCCTGCGGCAGGACAAAGGTGTAGCACTCTGCCTTCAGCGCGGGCTTCCTGCCTTCGATAGCGCTTCGTCGTACGCGCGGCCAAAGACTGGCGGAAGAAAAGCTGCGCGTGCTGGAGGCGGAGCCTCTACAGACTTCTTAGCCGGCCACCGTCATTAGGAGCTTCACTTGAGCGCACTCCGTATTGGGGACCGTATGGAACGTCGATACCGCGTACCGGCAGCGCCGAGGAGCTCCCAGTGTAGGTCGTTTTGCCACTGCAGTTTTGCTTTCGCTGCTTAATTGACGTGAGCAATATAGCTTCCCGTGCTTGTTTAGGAATGTCAACTAATAATCTAGGTTATACTGAGCCGTAAGAAGAGAAGGAATGAAGGAGGACGTGAAAACATTCCAAAGGTGTTGAATTTCCTGCATTCGCGAGATAAAAGAAATACCATCACGTAAAACGTGTTTCCGTGCGAGGTTTGTAGTAAAACTTACCGACTGGTGTAGATTGATTAAATAATTATCGTCACAAATGTCCCTCTAGGAAAGAAGAAACGTAAATGAATGCTTAGAACTGTCTGATTTTTTATTTGTGAATCATAAAAAAGTATCAAAACATCAGCCTTGCATTAGAAACATCAGCCAGTATCGCTGTAATGATGAAAATAATAATAATAATACGATAATAAAAATGATAGTAATAATAATGTTAATATTCTTTATATATACCTCACGGCCTATTGCTAGGTACACAACACATTTTAGGACATAACATAAAAAAGCAAACATATTAAAATCCAACTATACACGAAAATGTGCTGATTGCAAAACACGTGCACAAGCTCAAGTTGACTTCTTTAAACTATGCAAGTAATATGCTCTCAAGATTATGACTAAAAGTTGATATTTCACTTAAATATGTCAAGCCGTGATAAATAGGTCTTGTTAAATCCCGTTTGCACTCTTATCAACGGTGATATCAGGAAAAAAAGTGCCGTGGTTACAATGAGATTCGGGTAGAAGAAAGTATAGTGTACCCTAAAGACACTTCAGATTGCTTACGAGTAGGAATGCGAAAGCATTCCTATACGCAGCGCATTCCTACAAGCTGGGCGCCACGTCTTCCTTTTTTACGTGGTGCTCCGGCGGTGACGTCACGCTCCCCCACTGCGCATGCGCGGCAGACCCCGCTGGCTCCACGGCTTCCGTGACGAAGCATCTGCGTTGCTCTGCTTTTGGCCAATGGGAATGTAACTGCCGGTTCGCTGGTGCAGACGGTTACAGACAACACCAGCTTCGCTCCATGGGACAGATAATGCTTCTGCATTAAAATTTGTGTGTGTGTGTGGGGGGGGGGGGGGGGGGGGGCATGGGAACAAATCGAGCTTAAAAGACACATTAGTACCTCACACACCTTATGAAATGTTGTCAAGGCGGAGTACTGATGGGTTGCAAGTACAATTGTCACCCGTGCCAGAAATTTAAGCAACGACATGATTTTTGGAGTCACCTGCCGCTCGCTAACAAATCAGGAAAAAAGGTAGGTTAATATTGTGCAGACAATATTTAGACTTTTTGCTTCATTTTAGCATCAGCTACAATTTCCTCATACATTAATCGGACCACACGTGATTTCTTTTATCTTCCTCATTAGTATTATATTTTATGTATAAAAGGCCGTGCGTCATAAAGCACATCTGCCTGAACGACGCTGTTTCACGTATCAGTGGACTTTTCCTTCCAAAGTGTTTATACGGTCGTACATTGCGTCACCCTCGCTGGAGTTGTCTTTCAGCATTTCTGCATCCACGCTTTCACTTGCTAACAAAAGAAATGCGATAACCGTCGTTCCAACATGAGGCAACGCAAAACTAATTCATACAGAATTTATCGCACGGAACTGAAAGCATTAGGGACAAAAATACTCGTAAGTGTTTGATTGAGGCGAGGTTTCCCCAACCTGCATACACCGCTGGGGCAACATCCCAATTAGGTCTCAGCGTTCTGCCTTGATCACTTCTTTAATACTCTTGAACAAAACAATTCCCCCCGTAGACCCGGTTCTAGTTGTAAATATACCCCTATTTCTTGGATATATTTCGGAAACAACGTTCGTTCACTAAAGCTAGAAAAACCGCCGCACACCCCAAGCTGTAGAGTAACATGTAACCAGCAAGCAGAGTGGAAACGGTCTCCTCTTCATATTTCTCGACAGAAGTGCGACGTTTGCGCGTGAA